TATAAACAGACATTTTATAGAAAAAGAAATGCAGATGGCTCTTAAAATACTTGAACAAGTGCTCAACCTAACTTATAATAAGAACTAAAGTTTGTATTTTTAGGTAACAAAGAACCAAAAGTTTAATAACACATTGTGTTGACTAGAAGATAAAGAAATAGCCACTCTCAGTGGAAATTTGTACAATGGAGAGCAAATAGGTATGTTTCCAAAGGATAAAAGCACAAAACCTTGACCCAGCAATTCCTCTTCTAAGTAGCCATCCTATAAATACACTTGCACACACAGAGCATGACTTCTGTACAGGATATTGTTTACAGTATAGTTTGCATTAGCAAAATACTAGAAAGACCTGAAATGTCCTTCAGTGGGAAATTAAGTTAAATCAATGATCCCATTTAAATATGTACTAATATGGAAAAGTCTTGTAGATACATTTTAAGTTAAAAAAAGTAGTAAACAAGATAGATAGATAGATAGACAGACAGACAGACTGATAAATATGATACAGATACAGTACAGAAATAGATATATAATATTGTATGTGTTGTTAATGCACCCACTGCATCTGGAAGAATACCAAAAAATGCGGCCAGATGGCAGAGAGAGGAGGGACAATAAATGTCTTCCTGCCAAATTGGTTGAACAAAGTTGGGTTTAATGACTCTCAGCAAAGAGGCAAATTATACACCACAGCAGAACAGAGGTGTATTAGTAAGCTGTAAGAAAGGACTTCCAGGATTTGGTCTTGGGTTAAGTGATTTTTAAGAAAGCAAGCAGATTTACTCCAGATTGGATGCTCTAAGGAAGCAGGTGTAATCCTGTAATTGGCTATCTTAATAATGTTTATCTATAAGACAAGAAGAAGAGACCAAAGCTCTGTGTTGGGTGATGAAGCAGCAGCCACCCATATAAGCCAGGATAGAGAAAGATCTGATCATTCTGTGGTTTGGACAACTTTCTTGTTTTTGTCTGTGCTGATACGTGATTACAGAGTAGTCCTGTTTTTGTCCTGATCCATCATGGTCACAGTGGCCTTGTCCGATCTGGTCTTTTGATGAACTGTTTATGCTCAACAGAAGTGCACAAGGCCTGCTGGCAGTGCCAAGCCAAATCCTGGCTGTCAAGCACTGTTTGGCTCTTTTTCGACTGTATGTCCTTTTTTGCTGCCTTTACAATTTTGTAGCATGTACTCATCTTACGTATTCAACAAAATAATTTTTAGAAGAATCTCAAGACTGAAGGAGACCTTAAAAGTCACTGACTTTTGAGGTTATGCCAACCACCACCATCTCCACTCCTACATCAAAGGGGTTTTCTTGTAAACCCTTTCTTTACAAGTGCCAGTACAGCATCTGCTTGAACAGCTCCAGTTTCATCACTGTACTCGCTTACGAGGCAGCTCAGCTCTTAATGTTTTTTTTCGTTCAGAGAAAAAGTGAACAATGCATTTGGTTATAATATCTTAATTGTTTTCACCCCAGTATGCTTGACCTATTCAAATGTATCTTCTATGGTAATAGTGGAACAGAATAATTACCTTTCTAATTTTATGTAAAATATTCCTATTAATACTCTCCAAACTACAATTGTCTTTTTCTGTGCCAGTGTTCCAACACAGTTTTGCATCTTTTGTTAGCATTACATTTGCAGAGATTTTTATCTGTTGCTGCTGACAAACCCATTTGGTTTTGTACTCAATTACATGTAATTAGTCTTTTCTTCATGAACAAAAGAACAGGTGTCTTATCAATTCAATCCAAGACACTATGGTAAGGTCGGTTGGACCTAATAATGTCTACTGAACCAAACAACACACTTCTGACAGATGCTCATAGTAACAAGATTTTTTTTTCAAACAATCAAAAGCTTTTACTCCTGCCCACACAAAGTAGAAAAAGAAAAGGCATTTGAACAACTTAGAGGTTTATAATTTTCTATTAAAAAAATGAGTTAATTTAAATTCTTCTCTGATATTTTTACTCCAATCCATACTCAGAGAAGATATAAGTAAAAATTACTTGTTTTCACTGGAAACTTCTTAATTAAAATATCTTTGTGAGGGGATCAAAAAAAAAATAAAGCAGTTGAAAAACTGGCGAAATCTGAATAAAGTCTATAGCTCAGGTAATAGTATTGTACCAATGTTAATTTCCTGGTTTCAAAAATTGTACTGTTGTTCCATAAAGTGGTACCTATTAGGAGAAGCTGGGTGAAGAGTACACAGAAATTTCCTGGGTTATTTTGTAATTTTTCTGAAGTCTAAAATTATTTCAAAAGAAAATGTTAAAAAAATATGTAGGTGGGGAGAGTATTTAAAGAAAGATATATCAAGATCAAAACAAAATCTCCTCACTTATGAAACTTAGATTCTCCTGGGAGGAAGATCAAATATAAACAAACAGCAACAACCCAACCCGTATGTCAGGCCATCACAGGAGCCATGAATAGAAAAAAATACTGGGCTATCAGAATAGACAGGGCCAAGGTGAAATGGATGATTTTACATAGGATGGTCAGGGAAGGCCTCTTCAACATCTACAAGAAGTATTTTAGCAGCACTATTTGCAATCACCTTAAAATAGAAATGATAATTATCCACCAAAAAGAGAATGGATAAATAAATTTGGGCATATTCATGCAATAGGATACTTTAAAAAATGAAAATTAATGATATAAAGCAAATATATCACATACATACACCTCACAGCCATAATATTGGGGAAGAAAAAGACATAAAAGTGTATACAGTAATGCTCCTTTCATAAAAAGTTAATAAACATGCAAAATAATACTAGGAATGATTTAAGGATGACTATATAGATATATGAAAACATATATTTCTCAAACTGCATGGAAATGTTTAAAAAGCCAAATTCAGGGTAATTGTCATGTCTGGTATGGAAGGGAAAAGAGTTCTCCACCAGGAAGAGCACCCAAGGGCTTCATACCTACTTATGTTTTTAACTAAGTTTTAAGCTAGGGGTTGGGTATCCAGATGAATGTATCTCAGTCTTATTATTTTTATGTATCTAAACTCCTTTTAATACCCATATATCCAAAAGTGTGTGTAGTAGTTTATCCTAGTAAAAAAAAATTAGACATTTTAAATGTGAATTTTGACAGTTGCTAAAACTATTTGACAAAATGTATCACCCTCAGTGTCTGTGTGTGTTATGCATAATGCCATCATGCCTATATATATTTTTTTACTACACATATGTATGTGTATAAATGTATGTATGTATATGTGGGTGTGGAGCTACACTAGCCATTGACTCAGCATCAGCAGAGAAAGCACTTTCCGATTATTTTTCTAGAAGCAGGGAAGGAAGGATTTGTGTAGCTGACCCCACACTTTGATCCTCACCTTTCTACCACGGCCCCAGGATAAATGTTATGCACCTGCAGGACAGCTGTCTGGATTACAGTTGCATCCTGTGCTGGGCATGGCTATTTGGCTTTACTTGAAGATTGAATCAATCTTCATCAATTTCCAATTTTTCAAATTTTTCTAAGTTGGGTGAATGGTGCTGACCAGAGCATATTATCATCTCCAGTCGCCTGATTTTATAGAGAAAGAAACCAGATTGAAGGGTATCTCAAGATAGCACGGGTGACACAGCTAAGCAACAGCCTTGATTCTTTCCATATATACCTGTAGCTTCGCTAAATCTACATTCAAGTACAGATGCAATACGTGAAAATTTGACATGGAGAGGAAAGCATCCTCATTCTTCTGTACTCAGTTAGTTAGAAACTTAAATCGTTTAAAGACTGCATTCCCACAAATGCAAACCAACAGTGCAAACCACAATAAGCTAATCAACTACTTTGCAGAAAACTAGGATAAAATTCTCTATAACAAGGTCTCTTCTTGACTGTAATTCGTATTTTGTAATGTGCAACATTAAGTGAACAAAGAAAAATTTAGAAGGGGTGGACAAGAGCATTTTCATACTCTAGGAATTACAGATCTTTCCTCAGATCTTCATTTTTATCTCAAAAGATATTTTACCATAAAGTATCAGGCTTCTTATATTATCTTACGCAGTTTGGTAGAATGTCAGTCTGACCACAAAAATCACATCCATCAGAAGACAACTCAACTGGATATATGTTTAATGAGCATTTACTACGTGATCAGCACTAAACCTCTATCAGTGAATACAGACAAACTTTAGGGAACAATATGACACAATTTTAGAGTAACACAAATTTCCCCCCCAGGTATCTGTATATGATTATGCAGAAGCTGAAAGATTCAGAGTGATCATTCTTGACTCTGAAACTTGTATTCAAAATTCTTCTGAAATGCAGATGTACTCTGTCAGATCTTGATGATTTTGTTTAGTTATCAAACCTGTCAACTCTACATTTAAATTTGTCAAACATTATTTCCAGAGATATTATCAATAATCTTTTAATATTTGCATTTTTTCAAAAAATTATAAGCAAAATTACAGATCTATTGGTCTTTATTATCTTGTTATTATATATACTGTAAAATATCATAATATTTTAATATAGTTTTCTTTTTAAATAATTTTGCCCTCAATCAAAATAACACACAATGTATATATGTATATATTCAATGTTTATCTTGAGAAGTAATTTTAGTCTTCTAGAAATGACGTTCTAAGATTATTATAACATGTTTACTATTTGGTTCCAGGAATAAAATACCATTTTGTGCAGGAAAGTCTCCCTTGTTCCTACAAATATTTAACATCATCCTGCCTACAACTGTGGGTGAAAGGATATTCTGGTCCACTGACCAGTTAAAACTCCTTCAAGCCTCCTCCGTTCTTAGTGAGTACATAACCTCTCTCTCCCTTCTCTTTGCTATACGTAATCACAGCAAAAAAGAATAAAGGAAAAGATACTAACTTCCTAGCAGTTAAACAGTTTCAAAGGCAGCCTGGCCATGCTTCAAGTCTAAGATACACTGGGCCATACATTTGACTGTAATTGGTTAGCAAGAAGCTAATGTTCCTTACTGTAGTCGCTGTTCTCGTCCTTGGTCCCGTCAATGGTACCATCTGGGTGCATCTGCAGAAAATATCCCTGCTGGCTGAATAACCTTGTCACAATTCCTTTCAGCTGGGGTTCTGCAAAACAAAATGAAATTATTATTCAAGTTTTAATTTTGTTTATAATAATGCACACTTGCAAATTGTCAAAAAACATTCTCTAAGTATATTCGTAAATGCCAGTGGCTTAAATACTGAAATAACTATTTGGAAAGGGGTCATTTTGGTAACATAGCTTTACTTTTTTTCTTTCTAGAGGCTGATTCATAATATTTTGCAACAGTAAACCAAATGTAAATTAAAAAATAGCTAATAATAATCAGGAAAATACAGAAGTGAGCTACAAAATGAATTATTTTTCTCCCTTGGACATCTAGTGTCTGGCTGCAAGATGCCACCAAGTTTGTGGTTCCATTCTAGCATCACTGTTCAGATCAAACTGCCACTGTGATTCCTAAGCTTTCAGCAATCAGAATCATGTCCTGGAAGACTTCTATTTCTGAGGAATGGCCACTGTCTATCAGAAACTCCCGGGTTTTGAAATTCTGATCAAATTCAGGCTTGGATGAGAACCACAGGAAAAAGCTAAACCCCATGGCCATGAGATGCCACTGGAAAGTATGCGGAAGCAGATTTCACCTTCAGTAAACGCCTCACCTGAGTGAGCCCCAGTTCTACAACAGTCATTTTTCCAGTGCCCCCCCCCACCAAAAATATTCAAGCCATGCCTGTTTCTGTAAGTATTTCGAATTAGAAGTGGTCCTCTTCTTCAAAACCTCCCCACACACTTACATCACCAAACTGACCATTGTGTAGCACATTTGGATCTTTGGTTAGCAGCTCATATGAATATTTAATGCTTTCTTATTGGGGTACTGGCTGCCAGCAACAATCCATTCTCTACAGCATCACCACCATCTTTGTCTCTACTTCAGTGTTGGGCAAAAAATGAGACTATTCTAGCACATGTATAGTCCTAATTATATCACAAAAAATAGTAGGAAAAGAAAAACGCTGCTTCTGGTGATAAAAATTGAGGCAAAAATAGGAATCATATGATTATTGATGCTTGGGTTGAAATAAGAATTCTATTTAAAAATTCAGTGCATTAAACTGTTTGGGAATGGACGTACTCCCAATGACGTATGTCTGTGGTTAGCCTTTTGCACATATGACTAGATCACACATAGTTGGGAACATGAGGCAATGCCTACATAAACGTGTCTTCTTTAAAGCAGTCTTAAGAAGAAGAAAAGATGCCAAGAAAACTGGTAAGGAGGAAGCAGGGTATTGAAAAAAGAACTAAACTGGAAATTAGGCATTCTGATTGATAACTATGTATTATTTCTGCAGCGTAAATAAATTCAACGTATTTAATTCATAGGCCTTAATTCCCTCATCAGTAAAACCTGAAAGTTAAAATAAGTGAGCTTTAGGTCCCTTTCATGATTCTCTGTTGACTTTGAGCAGCCTTGACTTAAAGGCTCTTTGACCTGAGAATCTTCTGCTGTGCTCAGTGGCAGAAATCAAGGAACGGATTCATTGTCAACATGCTGTCTCCATGGGCTCCTCAATCGGATCTACTAGGGACATGTCGAAGAAGCAGGTAGCTAGCTAACCTCACTGCAAAAACAAACAAACAAACAAACAAACAAAGCTATACCCCTACCGTCTATCAAACCTCACCAACCTTTCCAGACCCAGTTCAAATTATCACCTCCTCCAGGAAGACTTGGCTATCATAATTGAGGATCACTTTCATAATCAGAGGAAATAAAAAGAACATGTGAG